GTATCACACAAAGAACCGAGGTGAGGAAGGGGTGCTGCCTTAAATGTTTCCTTTATGTTTGAATAGACTAAGTCCAGTGTGTTCTTTTCACTAGTTGCAAAATCTACATGATGGAAATGAGGGAGAACTGTTCTCATGCAAGCCTGATTAAAGTCTCCTGTTACAATGAAAACACCATCTGGATAAGTATTTGCAAGTCATTGATGGCAGTAGAGAGTATTCAGGGCTTCCTTGATATTTTCACTGCAGGGAATGTGCACAGCTGTGATGATAATAACAGTACATTCAGTGGTCAGGTAGAAGAGCCTAGCTTTTACAAAAAACGCTGTGTGTGAAGAGCTGTGACTTGAGATGACTTCAGTATTTTTGCACAAGCTCTTTTAAGTTTAAATGCACACACGACGACTACAGGTAATAAGAGCACAGCTTCAGAATATTATTGCAACACTTGGAATGGATGGATTTAGCCATGTCTTAGCTTCTGGTAGTCCAGTTTGTTCTCCAAGAAGCGCAGATGTTAACAAGGAGGACATAAGGTCTTGGGGCCTTGCGTGCATCCTGCATGGGCGATCTCCCCCTCTTCCATCAACTGCAATGCTTTCTATTTTTCTATTGCACCACCTTCTTCTACTCCACTAGCAGACAGTGCTGGTAGGAGACTTTACTGCTTGATGTACCAATCATAGCTCATGCAGCTTGTGTAGCCAGCTACGCAGACCTTACAGAGTGCTTGCATGTATAGTTCCTAAACTGTTGGTTTCACAAAGTGCTACCAATGACTGACAGTTGTATATTAGTTTGGCTTTACCATCCAGCAGATTCACAGCCAAACGATCCAGTTTAAGGGCATTTGAGACATTAAATGTCTTTTACTATCAGGAGCCAGTGCAGCTGCAGCCAAATAAGGTGCCACCATCTGGCATCAAGTTAACTCTAACATTTAACATGCTAACTGAAGCCTGTAGAGTCTGAGATGTAGCTCTTGGGTATTTCTATGAACATTGCACGGTCTCACTTTGGGGTGAATTTTTTACAACAAGTAAGTTGCATTAATTTATTATAGTTAGCCAAAAAAAATGAGCTTTGTGTTTTAGATTAAATATACCTAGTATATCTTAGTTTAGCTGACCAGAAATTCTTAAGGTGCTCCAATCAGTGTTTAGCTACAGGAACACTGTTTTAATATGTTAACAAACAATCCTGGTCTCATTCAAGGTGGCCAAAAGTTAGTCTGGGAGGGTGTGACTCCTGTAGATGAAACAGAAGTCTGTAGATAACCTCTACTTTCTTGAGCTATGACCTAAATATAAAGTTAAGTATACAGTTTAAGGCATCGGTTCAATATGCTGACTTTGTAAATTACTGTCTGCATTTAGAATAAACTCCATTAAAAAACAATAAAACACACAGGCTGTGTCTATGCTCTGAATGGCTATGATTCACCTTTTGCTTGAGGCGTCCTTTTTGGAAAAAAAGAAGATGTCGATGGTCATAATGGAAAACACGACTTCAGCAAGTACAGCTCTTGGATTCCTGAGTGCTGCTCTTCATACATTCATTAACTTGTTTATTTTCTGTTTTACACTTCACGGGCGCAGCATTCATGCTGGTATCATTACTAAAGTGTATTGGTGATGAATCATTCTCTTAAATTAATCAGTAACAGCCTAATGTTGCAGATAGAAAAAAACAGTAAATTGTCGGTGTTTTAGAGACCCAAACACAATTTCACAAACCAAATTTTCAAGGGGAGCTTACAACTTTTTTAAAGAACAGTTCACATCCTGGTTTTAAATGTTACACCAAATATACTGATATATAAGCCTAAAAGGATTTTATACAAAATATAAACTACCACAACCTCAAATAACCAGATGGATGGGTGGACAGAAGAAATATGGTTATAAGTAGAATAAATGATTACAGAGTTTGGCTGGTGGGTGTCAGTTTGGTGTGACTGTGTCTGTAGTCTTCATTAAGTCCTGTTTGTATTCATGTAAAGAAGCAAAACGAGTTTCAGTCTGACTTTAGTGATTCCATTAACAGGTTTGTTTGTTCCATAGCTGTAGCTCACAGTTTTCAGGGAGGTGCTTGATCCTCCCACAGCTTCTGTATGAGGAGTGATTGATGCCAGGGACACAGTAGCATACGAGGCACACCTGCCTCTGATTGTTGATTCTCACCTCACCATGCTTCTACATCATATTCAGTGCTTTTTAGTAATAAATAGTCTTGACTTTTTGTTAATTAAATCAAGCATAGCAATAACCTTGTGGGAAACGTTCTTGGGATTATAGAATTAAAACACTGATAAATTATTTCTTTCTTTCCACTCATTGTCAGCCTACATTAGCTGTGATAGATTTCAAACTAAATGGTGGTCAGAGCATGGCTGAACTAAGGTCAGTAGGCTTGATTAAGGGGTTACCACACAGAACTGCAGCTGAAATAACAGTAAATATTTCAGGTATACAGTCTGTTCTAGATTGCAAAACAACAAAGCCTACTTTATAATCACATGTCACATGCCAACTGTGAAATCACACAGCCTCATCATCTTTTACCTGGACTTAAAGGTGTGCCAGATTTAGTGCAGTCTTCTCCTGAGCAATAGGCATGGCCACCTCCTCATCAGCGCTGGTATAGGATTTGAAGAAGTTTGACAGTTTCCTCCAGGAAGTCGTATCTTTTCAAGCTGCAGCATCTTCCTCTTTATATCCAGGGAACCTCTCCTGTACAGCTATAAGCTTGAAATGGCAGTAAAGCCAGATATGACTGTACGCTCACATCCCCGCCAACTGCATCATACTCACCAGTCTGGAAAAAACAGAATGGTTCAAAATGACACTAAAGTGCAGTTGTCACATCACTTTTGACACACATTGCTGTTTATGAGGGCGACGTGAGCAAAAAACAGGTGTTAGCTAGCCCTGGAGTTTGGAAAGTTGCATTCAGGTAAAAACACATTTGTACTGCACATGCTAAATACCTAAACACATAAAGTGTGTATTTTTTAATATTTGTTATTGTATTGAATGAAAGCACATCTAACAGCAACAGCCCCACAGCCTTGAGACAGCATTAAACCTGTAGAAAGATAAAACCAGTAGACGTAAATACAAACTAATTATTCCCAATTCAGAAATGCCAGTACAGGTCTCCAGGACCTCTCAATTATATTCAGTCTGTTCTCACTGAGATGTCTCTGTAGATACTTGTTCAAAGCTCAAATGTGGGTAGAAAGTTCTTTTTCCACCGCTGTAGTATGAACTTTTCAATCACCTGATGATGAATGATTTCCACTAATTGGAGCATCTATGTATTTATCGGGAGCTTTAATGTGTCATTTGAATATGTTCATGTAAACAGGTTTTTCCTGACTGACCCAGCAATTGTTTTTGTTGCTGCTGATTGATTCTTTGTGTTTGTTTGTTTTGGTGATAATATACAATAATAAGGCTCATACAAACTTTTATTTTTCATAAAAACACACATTAGAAAATCTACCTCCAGTAGAAAAGCTTGGTGTTGTCAGTGTTGCTCATTCATTTCGGAAATGAATGCAAACTGTAAAGTAGCTTGGCCGCAGTGCTGGCAGGTCAGTGCATCGAAAAGCCACAAGTTTCTACAACAGTCGCATACATGCGAGAATATGACCACCGCAGTCTCTCTAGTTTCAAGAATCACAGACAGAGACAAGCACGGCCAGCACAGACTCAAATCTGATCACCCATCTGGCCATCCTACATATCCAGTGATGTTGGGGGCTACATACATAGTGATGAACTAGAGTTAAATGCAGTATTTATTATGTTCTAGCTGAACTTTTTCTTTACCGCTTTTTCCACAAGGACTAATTTTGCCATCACAACCACCCGCTCAAATTATAATTGTCTTAATAATTGTAACGGCAAGAAGAAAGAATAAATTCAGCACCTGCCCACAAAAGTCATAATTTGAGGGTTACATTAAAAAAGGATTGTGTATGTGTCTTGTGTAGGTACTTCTAGGTGTCAGTCATGGCTCTGTAAACAAATTACTGTGATTTAGCTCACAGAGTTTCAGTGCTGATGTCCACCCTGCATACAGAGTGGAGAGATACTCTTGATGTGATAGAGAACGGAAGCGTCACACGAGCCTTCGGTTCAGTCAAGGTCTGTGGGCTAAGGTGGAAACCACAGGCATTATGGTTGGTAACCTGCTGTTAGCTCTAACCAGGTAGTTTCTGTTAATTTATTTCATAGTGTCTGTTTTAACTTTTGCATTGTTATGCAAAAATAATATATACGCCTATGTTAAATTTTGTGACTGTTCTGCCCTTTTGTGCGTTTCAAAAACAATTACATGAACTGTCTGTTGGTTTGTTTCATTTCTTTCCAGCACTCTAGTAAACCATGATAATAGTTGTGTTTGATGCATAATGTACAAATGATCAAGCCTGGTCATATTAGCTTTGCTTCTGTGGGTAGTTGGGGATGGGTTTGTGTGGGGGTGAGGGTCCCCAAATAAAATTCTGCTTAAAAGACCCATAAAATTTTGGGCCAACTCTGGTGGTGATGAATGCTGAGTGGATGGGCACCTGTTTTTGCCTAGAACCCCAATAAACTCTAGAATCACCAGTGTAAAGAACCGTCATGCACTTGACCCTCTGACAGTCCCACAGCTGTGGGGGGTGTTTCACAGTCTGTGATCAGTCTCACTGCCTCTGGTTCCGATCCCAGCTTTTCATCCCTAAAAATCGATCACACATCGTGAAGGTACTTTTACAGATCGCTCACCTTAGTTTATAAAATTCCTGTAAAACTAGTGCAGTAAATCGGTTTATGTGCACTTAGTCTTGTTCAGACGGTGAATCTGGAGCTTGAGGCTCATTCATAGTTCGGCCACAGCCCTGTAGATTTCAGACTGGCTGAATCTCCCAATAGAAAAGCCTGGAATCATCTCAGTAAGCCAACATGCTCCTCCTGCCTCCCCCTCCTCCCCCTCTGTGTGGCACTGATCACCCCTTATACTGGAGGCAGCGCTGCCCTCTGCACGCCGCACAACCAGGCGGATGTACCGATGGCTCGTACTGTATTTCTGGTGACTTTCACGTGATGTTATTGTGTGTTGCGGGCTGTTTGCCAACCTCTCGCCTTCTACCCGGCCGTGTGCATGAGCGGACTGGCAGGAGGTAGATGTGTGACAGCAGCAGATCCGTGCGCGCCGGTTTGGTGCAGGCGGCGAAGGCGCTCTGAAAACCTCCATCTCTGCCTGAGAGAGAGTCGACTGGTAAGTTGAGTTTTCCATCTGACGTTGAGCCAGTTTATCGGCATTATGAGGACCTCATATAAGATGCCTACTTATAAAGCCTTGACTTATTTTTTTTTTTTAAAAATGGGTTTTCCGGGCAGGTTTATGTCCAGCTTTTTAGTTTTGTGATGTAAGCTGAGTGAAACTGGAGAAGCGAGCGCGCCTGCCAGGAAAGCAAACGTGTCGCTGACACTTCCATCAGGCATTTTCTACTTACTAATATTCTCTATTTCCGACAGCCCAACTTGTCACAACGCAAGCACATCTCCGCGTCACGCGCACGCGAACGGGCATAGGAACGTGCGCAGAGGAGCGGTCCTCATTCACGGCTCGTTCTTGAATTATTAAACTTGAGGAGTCATTCACTTCAAACTCCACATTCTAGACTCGTACTGGTTGCTGAAAACGAAAAATAACGAGACATGGCTAATTATAAAAGTTTAAAGTAGTAATCTATCTGCTTGTCATGTTCCCTACTGGTAAAAATGTGTGTAAAATGTCGTAAAATACTGAATAAAAGCTTCTAAATTTTTTTTAAAGAAATCTGAAAATTTAATGATTTCTAGTTTACTATCAAAGGTGATAAGGAAAAGCAAGAACAATTCACATTTTAAAAAAGCTGAAATTAGTACATTTTTGATATATTTTAAAACAAATAGGAAGAGTTGCTGGTTAATTTTGGCAGTGTTTGACATTCCCAGCTTGTGGAATCAATCAAGGATAATAAAAGGTTAAGTCTGTGTCAGTCTGTCATTTTTTTCCCATTGTGTAGAAGTAGAGTCCATTTATCTGTCTCATGTGTCTGCTACGGTGAGTAATCTCTAAAAGCGACACTAAGTGTTTCATTTAAAGACAAATTTGTGGAAAACATCTCAAAGGAAAGGGAGGAGGCATCCTGTCTCTTACTACATGACATGTGACCATCTGTGGCCATCAGTGATTTTCCCCTTGGTGCGACATATTGAGGTGTGACATTGTGGATCTGGGTGGTGCTGCTGCAGCAGGAAGGTGCCAGAGCCGAACTCTCATGTGGCATTTGTCCCTCTGTTTCGAAACTTTCCCTCCTCTGAACCAACAGCAGCTACTGTGTGCATTGTTTGTGCTGGAATCCAGCTGCATTGGAGACATTTGAGAGGCCATGCCCTTCCTTGCTTGCCCAAAAAGACCGTCCCTGTCATTGCTGCTCATTCTCCCCAGATCATTATTGAGTCTGTGCCGAGACACTTTCAGACATCACTCAACCTGAGCAGACTGCCTCTTTTATTGAGAAACTGCAGCCGTCTCCGGCTATTTCAGTTATCTCGTTTCGGTCAGGAAGTTCAGTTCTATCAAGGTTTCACTCGTTAGTGTCGTGAGGACGAGGTTGCCAGTGGGACCGCCACTCTAATTTTCCTGCAGGTGGGTCACGTTTCCAATTTGTGTTAGCGAAGGTGGAACCGGACCCCTGAGGAATCTCCCCAGCGAGAGAGCAGCGTCACAAGATTTGTGAGGTGGCACCAACTGTTGACAGATTCATCTGAGTGATTGAGAGAGGGGATGTTTCTGAAACATAAAGGAGATCAGAAGAAGAAAACTCGAAATTTAGGTGATTTGAGGGAAATGTCTCATTGGGATTTCTCAGAAAGATTTTTTTTTCACAAATCAGTTTTAAGAATTTAATGGTCTAAAACACAACCATAAAAGACACCGTCGAAATAGTTGTAGCCTAATGAGAAATTAAAAATGTGATTGCCTCCAATGTGGATTTATTATTTTTGTTAATAGGTTTAGAATAATTGGCTTGGAGAATTGACTATTATAGTAATGAGGCTATAATAATGAAAATGTATATAATAAAACAACTTCAATTTGGTCTTTTGTAAAGTTCAGCACTAATTTGTAGTAGAGTAAAAGTTGGAATGCTGTCCTTTAAATCCTCAGAGTAAGTTTGACTGACAGTGAGCTGCAGCATTTCCAACGTACAGTAGAGTTTTCAGTGACGACAGCCTGTGCATAATTCTCCCTCCTCCGCTTCTGCCCTGCCAGGGGTATAAATAACCATGTGGATGAAGCAAATCTCAGCACAGCCCAGCGCTGTGGTTCATCAGCACTTTGGAGAGGGCCTGGGCTTATTTGGTTTTCTTATTTTCTTCTTTTCCCCATTGATGTGGCTACCGCTGTTGCACTGTTGGTTACTTGGTTGCCCAGCAACTCAGTTTGTGTTATCTCTGTCTGTGAATTATTGCATCAGCTGTGCAATACATAGAGACTCACGACAAGGCATCTGCTCGCAGGTCAGGCTTAGCTTTTGTTATTTTAGAAAGATGTCACTGGAGATGTTACACTCAGACTGATGTGGGTGAGATTAGGGACTGGGATAACTTTAATAGTGGAGAATCATCTGATTTTTATTTTGAAAGTTCATCTATTCAACCCTTCCTGTTTCATCTTTCTCTAAGCAGTTTTTTTCCCTATCAGCTTCATCGCAAATGAGTCTCTTGTCCCACATTTGGTGTAAGGTGTGGGACTTGAACTGGTGGAGAACCCCTTCATGTGCTTTACAGAGAAGAATTTATTTCAGTTCAGGTTTATTTATATAGTGCCAATTCACAATAACAGTTGCCTCAAGGCATTTTATACTGTAAGTTAAAGATCCGACAATAATACTATGAGCTAGCAATCTGCGAGGGTGTGAAGGAAAAACTCCCTTTTAGCAGAAAGAACCCAGAGGAACCAGACTCAGGGAGGTGCAGCCATCCACTGCGACTAGTTGCAGGTCGAGGCAAAAAGAGGAAAGAGAAAAGAAAAAGACTATAGGGAAATGGGGAAAACACACAATAAGGAAGAAAAGGCAAAAAATTTATGACATGTTTCAATGGTATATAAACAGGTAGAGCACAAATAGAAGTGATTGAAGAAGAAGTACTTAGTGCATGAAGTCCCACAGGAATTTGAGCCTATGACAGCATAACTAAGGGAGGATTCACAGTCACCTGATCCAGCCCTATTAGTTTTAAGCTTAATTTTCAAAGTAGAGAGGGTGTCTGTCTCCCAAACTGAGAGCTGGTTCCACAGGAGAGAGGTGTAATAGCTGAAGGCTCTGCCTCCCATTCAACTTTTAGAAACTCTTCGAACCACAAGTAAGCCAGCAATGCATTGTTAGGATAGCCTTGTACTATGAGGTCTTTTAAGATACGACAGAGCCTGATGGTTCAAGACTTTGTATGTGAGGGGAAGGCAGTTCGTCTTGTAACCGGAAGGTTGCCGGTTTGAGCCCCGGCTCGGACAGTCTCGGTTGTTGTGTCCTTGGGCAAGACACTTCACCCGTTTGCCTACTGGTGGTGGCCAGAGGGGCCGACGGCGTGATATGGCAGCCTCGCTTCTGTCAGTCTGCCCCAGGGCAGCTGTGGCTACAACTGTAGCTTGCCTCCACCAGTGTGTGAATGTGAGAGTGAATGAATAGTGGAATTGTAAAGCGCTTTGAGGGCCCCAAAAAGTGCTATATAAATGCAGTTCATTATTATTATTATTATTATTATTAAGACCCTGTCCCACTTTCTTTTTTAAGGCCCAGTGTATGCTGATCTGGTATACCTTCAAAAACTTTATAAAAGAATAATTACTAGTTTGTATCCATGTCCTCCAGACTCATATAGTATTTAGTGAATATGGATTAGCTGATCACCAAAGAGTCAGTTCAGTCACGTAGTGGTTAGCTTTAGTCCAGGCTCTTCAGTAATGAAAAGTTTTTGAAATTATGGTGTCAAAGTGATGTTGACCTTTTCACTTTGTGCGTGTCGTCATCTTTATATTTCAGAGTGATTGAGTTTTGGCCAGAAATTTGAATTACAAGGTCACAGTGGCATTTGACTATCAAAATACAATATAGTTCTTTTAGAGTCCAAATGATTTTGCTCAAAATATAAGGTTTAAGAGATATTGAGGTCGTTAGGGTCCATACATACATACATACATACATACATACATTTTTTTAACGTGGAAATGAGCAGTGATTGTTTGAGTTAGCAGCAACAACAAAACACATCGTCTGTCATTCAGTTCATAGACTGACTACTCCTCACTGATCGTTACACAGGGAGGTGTGCCTGAGTTTGAGCTACAATATCAATCTTTCTGCAAAAATGACAGTAAAGCACTATGAAGAGTCGCTAAAGGTGAAGTGAACTGAACAATGAAGATAACTCATTTGGGAGAGTCTGTTTCAGAAATCTTTATTGTTCTGTGGTTCTGCTGCTTGTGACATCTCTGAGACCTGTTCAGCTCTAAAATCCTCCTCAGCTAGTTACTTTTTCACATTGTAATATAAAACTTTTGATTTAGGTTTAACATCCATTTTGACTGAAGGACCCACCACTCATTATTGAATGATTAAAACCACGAAGACCCCATTAACAAATGAAGTGATTGCATGATTAAAATTGACTAAAAAAGTAAATTGTGGCTCATTTTTGGCTGCAGTTGGTCTGTGGTACTTTAACTGATTTTCCTTATTAGTTAATCTTCAATTATTGGTATTTAGAGCTGCCTAGGCGCCCAACCCAGCAATTCAAAAACCAAAAATCTATTAATTTACTGTCACATTAGGTGAGGTAAATCACTGCTAGTACTTATTATGCACTTGATGCTCCTGCAGGAAACTTGTTCACACTCTGATGTAGTCTTGTGATTTTGAGACTGCTCTACAGTGAGAAACATATTTGTTGTTTTATCACAAGTGGTGGCGCTGTGGATGAAGGTGCAGCAGGTTTATGGCAACCATTTCACAGCAAAGTCCATGGTGGATGGCAACCAGGAACACAGCTGATAGCATTATTTTGCATTATTTTAGTTTATCCTTTCGTTCCTTTTTTCCTTTTCTTTTTTTTAAAAGGGAAGCAGGCCATGCTGGGATATCAAAGCTGTGAGCAATACAAGGAAAGGCTTTTCTAGCCCTTGGGGAGATTAGCTGCTCCATGACTTACTGATTTTCTATGCAAGCTTTAGGCAATAAAATCATTAACAATCTTGCAGGCAAAGAGAAACTTGTTGGGAAAAATAAAAGATATGACTGATATTATTTATATTATGGGTTTTAAAGTGCTCCTTTTATGTTGATTTACAGCTAAATGCTTTTGTTCTTTGACTTCCAGAGTTGAGTAAAAGTTAAAAAGAATTTAAGGGAACACTTAAATCACACATCAGCTCTTGGATGAATGAACTGTTCCAGTTGAAAATCTTTACTGACATACACTGTGTAATTTGTTGAGAACAAAGTGACATAAAAATGGTGAGCAGACATCAAACTCATTATTCTTCTGTGGGCTGGATTCAAAATCACAGCAGAAATCAAGGTTAGGTTTGTTTGAAGTGTTTTTTATGGTATCCCTTTGTGCACCAACTCAAAACATCCTCTGCCTGAAACAAGTCATTTTAACTGCTTTCCCTTTAACCTCAGTGTAATAGAAACAATAATAATATCAAAACTTATTTCTTAACAAATCATTATTATTCATATGCCTACATTCTCCCTTTCTATTACATTACATTTTCAATCATGTTGTTTTGTAAAATGAAAATCTACTTTTCTTGCAGCCTGCAGCTTTTATGGAAGTATATTCCACATTAGTACTCAACAGTGTATTTACCAACCTTTTGATTATGGTAACGCTTAGTTTTCAATAATTTAAGGTAAAATTTGTGTTGTATTTATATAAAAAACAAAACAAAAAAAAACAACCAGTATAAAATCATTGAAACAAACACAAAGCAAGGCAGCCCAGAAATGTCATCGCTACAGTATGTCCTGGGTCTGCCCCAACCTCCTCCCAGTAGGACATGGCTGAAACCCCATAAAAATAACATCTGCCTGATCCACCTCAGGTGGCATCTGCAACACTGCTGGACCAATCTGTCTGTCAATCTCCCGCTCCACCCTCCCCTCACTCGTGAACGAGACCCCAAGTTACTTGAACTTCTTGCTGGCGTGGAGCGGGAACTCTACCCTCTCCTGGCTGAGAACCATGTCTTCAGGTGCTCCTCCCAATCACTTTACCAAGTTCATGCTTTGATGAAGTCAAGAGAATTACCTAATGGAATTTGGAAAAAAAGAAACAAATTGATTGACAAAGTCATAAAATTGGGAACAATTAAAAACAAAACAATAATAATAACATCTGTGAGATATGACAAAATACACCTCTGGGGGTCTACATGGACCCCAGTCAGTAGAATGAGGGTTAAGGCTGTCCTCCTTTAACCTGACTTCCTTGTGATTGGCTGCGTCTTAGAAACGATAGGATTAAACAGCAGATTCCCTGTTCACAGTCAGAGCTGTGTGCATGAGATGACCATGTTAAGAAACATTTTATGAACACTCTCTTTGACATCATACAGAGCCAAGAGTAGGAAAAGAAATGAAGACGAAGATTTTGGCTCACAGGGACGTTACCTGTACATGTGGTGAACTCTTGATTTGAACATGAGCGTCCACTGTTGTAATAACATGACAGAAAATATGGAAAAGCATAGCAGACACTCTTCCTTGCATTAAAATGAAGCATCCGCTCATCAAAGGGGGGGAACGAGGGATTAGGATTTGATTTACCTTGCAACCCTTTTGTGCATTGAAAGCTGCGATCACAATTTAATTGCACCTTCCGCACTCATGCTTTTGATTAGAATTTAATTCACAAGAAGAATCCCAGTCTGCAAGGTGACGGCACACAGCAGTGTTTTTGCCATGCGTCTTGTTAACCAGACCGCACTAGAAATGAAGGAGAAAGACCTGCCAGCCTAGACTGGTGCAGGATGTGTGGATGACGCACGACAAGTGCAACAGTGTGCGAAGCTCAGCCCGGAGCTGTGGGTTCTCCGCTGATGGTCTAAGCATTGCCACAGGTGTTTCCATCAGTTGAGCACATACAGTAGTATATGTCATATTACAGTTTCCATAATATAATTTTCCTTGTATGTGCTGTACTCTCAAAGAGAGTAGAGGTAATTTTCCTTTTAGGAAAAAAAAAGAGAGAAAAGAAAATGAAATTAGGGTGGCAAATCATGTGTTTAAATGAAGTTTGGTATGATCATACAGTATGTGTGATTAGCTTCCACCCTGCTGTTTGGTGCAGTGGAATAGCCAGAGAGACGAGATGTAATCTGTATGTGGGAGCCGTGGATGGATGAACATGAGATGAGGTGAGTGTTTGCCTGCGGGACGTCTGCGCTCACATGGCAGAGCGAGGCTCGTCTCAGCGTGCGGCCATTCGACCTGAATGTTGAGACACGTACAGTAGAGTGACTGGTCTCTGCGGCGCGGCGGATTCTTGAAAACCCCTCTCGTATAATTTTGTGATGTGAAGCCGGGGGGCTGCGGGCTCACAGCTTCGTATTTTTAAATGAGTTCAAACTATTTTGACTCTAACAGCTTTTTTTGTCTGGGTTCTTAAAGTTTGAAGACGCACTCTTACAAAAGCATTTCCTTTTTTTTCCTCTCTCTTTTTATCCAAACCATTTCATGGATTCGCAGCACTCTGCCCTCCAAAAGAAGGATCTTAGTGCCCTTGTTTTGTAGTGTTTTCAAACAGCAGTCACGTTACTCATCCTTGAAGTGTTTTTATGTTTGTCAGCCTGCACTGAAATAGAAAAATGTTTAATTTAGATAAAAGCTAAGTCTGCTTTTGTATTTCAGGAGCTGTCTGGCTGGTGCCGCTGCACTACTATGACTCTGAGCTCATGAAGATTTTGTAAAGGAAAAAAGAAAATCCATTCCTGTTAAAGCCCACTTGTTTTCTCAATGGCTTCCCGCAGCCAAGGCTTCTTCCACCATCATCATCACCACCACCATCCCAACTCCATGGTGCCTGCGACGGTACCGAGGCTGCTGCCCGAAAATGGCAGCCTGCTGGGAGGCATCGCACAAATCACCCCCAACCTCTTCCTCAGCAGAGGAAACGTGGCTTCCAACCGCAGCCTGCTGCTGTCTAAAGGCATCACCTGTGTGGTCAATGCCACCATTGAGCTCCCCAACTTTAACTGGCCTCACATGGAATATGTAAAGGTCCCACTGGCAGATATGCCCCACTCCCCCATCTCCTTGTACTTCGACAGCGTGGCCGATAAGATCCACAGTGTGGGACGTAAGCGAGGGGCGGTGTTGGTGCACTGTGCAGCGGGAGTGAGCCGCTCCGCTTCTCTGTGTCTGGCGTATCTCATGAAGTACCACCGTGTGTCTCTGGCCGAGGCCCACGCCTGGGTCAAAGCCCGCCGCCCCGTCATTAGGCCCAACGGTGGCTTCTGGCGCCAGCTAATCGAGTACGAGAGGAAGCTGTTCGGCAGAAACTCTGTTAAGATGGTGCAGACGCCCTACGGGGTCATACCTGATGTTTATGAGAGGGACCGCAGGAGCCTCGCTCCATACTGGGGCCTGTGAGAGAGGCAGTGCCGACTGTTCAGTGGGGGATCGAGGATGAAAGTGAAGCCCTTTTGCCCTTCTGGACTGGAGGTTCCTACCTGCTCTGGACAGAGGAAGAGAAAATGCACAAGTGTGCGTGTGTGTGAAGCTTAATTAATGAGTGATGGTGCTTTTGGACAGAGGGAGTTCAATCAAACCCTGGCCGTTGATGGTGCTGCTGTTGATCCAACCAATTTTCTCCAGTTAAGTCTTTAAGTGGGAGAAAGGGGACTTAAAACCCAGAATCCTTCGGACCAGAGGATTGGATGAGACCACAATGATGTCAGACACCAAAACAAGATAAAACTTTGAGTTGAAGTCAGTGCCGTCCTTCTCTGGGTCTGTCTTTCCAGCTCCAGCGGATGATAGAGGTGTTCAAACAGTGATGTGACTGAAGTTCTGTTCCTGACGTGGTGTCATGTGGTGGTATTGTGCCAGTTTTGCAGTAATCCTTGGTGTGAAGGGCAGCAGCATGCTCTTAATTTATGGTAGCATTAAAGATAAGTGTACAGAAAAAAATATAGGGAAATTATTCTATTGGAATGTAATGATAGTGAGGGGGGAAAAAAGCTTATGATGCATTTTAACTGAATGAGAATCAAAGATGTTATAGCAACCTTTTTTAAGGTGAAATTTGAAAAGATGTAAGCTAGGAATCGAGGTTTAGGGAAAGCTCCTGTGTAACACAGGGTTGACTGTTCCATCCTCTGACCACACTATGTTATTGTAGTGCTATTTGATGCTATATTAAAGAAAATATCTGCTGCCTCAATAGAAGTGGTAGCTCTATGAAGTCTGTTTTCCATCCCACAGTTTTTGCCTTTTATCCAAATTCGGGTAAGGCTGCAAAAAGATCAGCACAGCACAGAAAAGACATTTTATTTTCTGTCTGGAAACTGGTCCACCTCTGTGGTGTAGCGCTCTTTTGAAGATCAGTAGGCTGAAGATCTTTTTTTTTTTTCTTTTTCTTTTTTTTTTTTGCTATCATCTGCAGGGTGAAATTTAAACTTTTTTTGCACGCTCTAGCCACACTTCAGAAATACTGGTTGTAGGTCTGAGACATGCTGCAGTAAATCATAATAAAAATACACTTTGGGACAATTATCACATAAAAGATGAATAAATACAAAAATGTCTGCATACTTCAAGTGATATTTTCCTCTTAGAGCCATCAAGTGGACTTTTTGTGTCTGTAGAATGTGTTTCCTTCTCATAAAGCCTGGCTTAAAATCCAGTTTTGTAATATTTAAATCCTACATTCATGTTCACTGTCTCACTATCTAGTCTCTACTGCTTTATTTGGGGTAGTTTTTTTTGCATTTAGTGACATTCTAGTACTATATAATAGTATAATATAGTACTATATTATTCATATAGTGTGACAGAACTATAGATAAACTAAACATAACCCTGGTTGAAAAATTGGTTGTTGAAAAACACAGCTTTCCTCAAGTATAATGAATTTGTATGTATTTATTGAATTTGCTCAGATTAAGCTTCTTCTGGCCAAAGTCCAAGAGTATATCCATCAAAAGAAACACATTATCTCTGTAACCACACAGTGGGACAAAGAGCCCTTGTACCACAGAGTGCAGGTGCTAAAATGGACAATATGTCACCTCACCATTTCTTCCTACAGTACAAAATTGAATCGAAAATATGGCCCTTTAATGGCCCTAAGATCCCTCAGAATCAGCTGTTAAAATGCATTGTTGAACCCCTCTGTGTTGTGTGAAACAGACAATGATGAATCACATGGTTAAGGAGAGGTCATTCCTTTGTGACTACTTTATTTGAAACACCTTTCAGTTATAATAACAGAAAGAAGCTTTTCATGTAACAGAAACAACATTAAGAAAAATTCACTCGATATGCAAGATGCTTCATTGTTTCAGTCGTCAGTCACGCAAACCTAGAGATCAGCCAGCAACCACCTGGCAACCTCCAGTCGCTCGGGGAAAAATGTGTATTCCCCAACCAGTGACTGGCTGCTGAAGGTTGCAAACTCTCGAAAGGTGAGATCAGTCACGGAGACCTCCTTTTGATTGTTTTGGTCTTTGGCAGATAGTTGCCTGTAGATTCCACGCAAGATGCTGTTTTGTCTGCAAGCATTTGTCAGCGACTACAAAAACCTCCTTGTGATTGCTTTGGCTGCAAGCAGATTATCACAGTTGGCTGTCGTTTGCACGCAAACTACTTGCCAAGCGATATTGAAACTGGAAAGAGTGTGATGCAAACCAGAAATGGAGAACTTTTGCTTACAAATTATTATCTTTTTCAAGTTTCAGTACTTTACTGAGAGCAGTTGGCAAGTGTTTGCAGACAAGTCAGCATTTCCCATGCAAACTTCATGTAACCACAGCAACCTGCTAGCAACCAAAGCAACTGGAAGATTTTCTGTGCAACAACTTCTCTTTCAGCAACCTCCAGCAGCCACTCACATTTTTCCCTAGTGATCAGTGATTGCCCGATGCTTGCGCTGAAGTGCTTGCCTTTGCTCTGTTCTTGGGCTAACTGTTAGCATAGATGTGGTGAATTTTATGGCATATTTCAACAAGCCACCGGCTTGTGGACATATTTTAAGGCCACTTCTTGGTAACTGTCACTACATCCATATTTCTTTTTAATATAATGAGAAACTCTGTTGCAAACCAAAAAGAAAAGCAAAGAAGCAAAAAAGAAAAAACTGTATTTTTTTTCCTAATAAAAAGCAACATTTGTGTGTGTACTGGAGCAATGATTAATAAATCTATTATTTAAGAAGAAAGCAATTCTTTTGAGACCACAACCATGCAATGGTGCAATAAAATGTCACTTTGTAGTACTACTGTAAGAGACCAGCACTGAGCTGAAAATTTCAAGCCACGGAGATCAGTGCACAGATGCTTTTCTGATATCCCAGGTGTAAAAAGGAATAAAAACACCAGAGGTACGGGATTGTACGAGGATGTTATTTCAAACCCTGAGACAGTGACATTAAAATGTAAAAACATAAAAAGATAATATCACTCTTTGCATTCACCCCTACACCCATTGTTTTGGACTTTTACCAGAATCAGAGTGCACATTTAAAACAAAACTGAAAGCATAAATTTTCTCTTTTCTTTTTCTAACTGTGAATGGAGACATCTCCGGGATTTTTTCACATGAACAGGCAGCAGTCTTTCCTTCTCCAAAGGCCTCTTGATGTTCAATCTGCACAGCCAATTTCCCCAAGAGATGTCTTCAGATGTCAAAAAAGCGTTCTGTCATTCATTTCTTTTTGCTGTGGTTACAGAGCAGCAGGCAGATATTGATGAGCACCATTTGTCTTGTGCCCACACTTCTGAGGGACCTCCAGAGTGGTCCTAACAATGAATTCCATTACCCACAGAGACGCGGCTCGCTACAAAATGCTCAAGTGATGGGCCCAAATTATACAGCGCGGACACCATTTCTGGTGGGAGTGCGTTAAATGTTGCTGGAGGTTGCAAAAAACTCTTTTAGTTATCCCCTTACCCTCCTTCTGGTAGTGTTAACGCGCACACATGCACGTGGGGGGGGGTTTCAGAGCACAGTCAAGCACTAAAAGTAAACACATCCTTCATCAGCAGCAGGATATTATCGTCTATCATTAAAGCAGTAAGCAAAACCATTTGCATCATCCTGAGTGTCGGAGCAGGCCTGGCTCCAGCCGTGCAGTCCATGCAGAACGAATGGCACTGAGGACATTTCTGGAGATGACATTCAGACATTCAGTCAGCAACTCAACGGAAAGCATCAAATACTGGTGAGCTGCAACACACCGCTGTGTGCTAATATTGTCTTTATGATATTTTAATTTGTTGTTTTATGATGAATTATTTAATGTTCAGTGTACAAAATGTCAAGTTAAAAATGCACAATTTGGCATCTTCAAACTGCCTGCTTTATCCAAATGAGAGAACAAACCCCAAATATGATATTTTTTGACTGTGTTTGCACTGGCTAAAGACAGAGGAAAGTGTTTCATGTGGAAGCTTTTAATGTTCGGTTCATCAATTGTTGCTAGGATGCGGACATGTAGTGACCTGTTAGTTTTAACACCAAGGTTTTGGACAGTATTGGGAAAATTAGCATTTAGCTTAAAGGTGTTTTTTGTAATAAACCTCTGTATAGTTTACTCAAAGGTTTCACCACTAGGGGCAGCATTTTACCCCCTGCTGTGTGCTGCTTTAACTTTGTCTTTTGCAGGCTGCCGTTTTAAAGAAGAATGTGCTCTTAAGTCTCCTTATTAATAAAGACTGCTCCATCATCACTACGCCATCCTATGGTACAAAGTGGTATTTCACAAAGTACAGCCCAGCTCCAGTTCTGCTTTAGTTGCTAACTACTAGTTAGCTGTTTCTGTACTTTTGTTTCATTTTGAAAGATTTATCATTTTAATTTAAATATTTGCAGAACCTGATGCAGATTTAAGTTATTGTAGTTGGAATTTGTAACTTTGACAGAAAATACCATTCAAGTCATCAATGCTGTAATTTCGTCACGCATCGGCGTGCGAATGCTGAACAGTACAGACTCACAGAGCCGCTAGCAGACTGCTGTTTAACAATAAAACTAATGTAGAATTAAAAAGATTGCATCATTGTTTTTAATTTGTACATAAACAAACAAACTAATTAATATTTATGTGGTTTCTACAGTCGGTTAATCATTCAGGGTTGAAGCTGCCACTGTAGATCCTGAGGTCATTCTTGCGTTATTATATCAGAAAATGTTTTTCTTTCCTTTTTTGAAAAGAATAATTATCTTTATCTATGTTTAGCACCAAATATTATGTTAAATATAAAATAGTGATTGAATATAAACAGAATATATAAGAACTGTGGAACTGAAAATGCAACACAACAGTTAAATTATTATGTTGTTATTGTTATTATTATGTAAAATCGGTAGAAAATACAGTTTTCAGTTTTCATCGTAGGTTTTGTTGCTGCAGTCCTGGTAAATAATGAAATTTTTCAACCACACGTAGCAAATAAAAACATCCACTGTGGCTGCAATGGATTACTGAATCATGGCCTCTTTGGGCTTCAAATTATACAGCCTCTAATGATCCACTATAATCTGCATGAGCTACACAACTACTGCTGTATCACTCGGTTGTAAATCCTGCATTTCCATTTTAATAAGGCCATGCACACAAGCCCATTATTAATATAAACACACTGCCTCAATTTTAGACCTGACATGCTCGTTATAGTAATAATTTGACAACATGATTTAGCCAAACAGCAACATATGCTTCAGCTGTGTGGTGTGAGGCAAAGCCTGCATTTCTTTTAGCTTCACAACAGTTGGAAACATTAGGAGAATGGGCACATAGAGGATGCTGCTTAGATGGAAACCTGTGTAAAAGTCCCAAAGGGCAGATTTAAATGTTGTTAGTGCTTTGTGTTATGGTAATGAAAATTCAGGGTGCAAGCAGTTGTATAGAAAACCATAACTGAGAATAAAAGATGGAGAAAGGGGAGGAAAAACAGCCCCACAGTCTGACTGAGGGTCATCTGAAGCACAGCAGAATTTAGTTTGTCATGAAACAGTCATTGTTCCTCGGCGAGCAGCTGAACGAGCGCGTTGTCTCTGTGGTATAACAGTGACTCATCTGTCGGCTGCCTTTCAAGTCTCAGCTGTCTCAGCTGATTGGACACTGAAGCGAAGGACTGTGAGCCACGAAGCTTGAGTCTGTGCACTGAGCATCAAAGCAGTGGAAATGACTAATATTTGTGTCCAGGTCCTTAATGGGGAAAT